GCTGAGTGCAACTCCCACGCCATATATTCCACGAGTCATCGCTTCTGGGTCACCAGACACACGGAGGGAGAAATGTGAAAGAGCTGGGTTCATCCTTGGCGTTCTGAGATGCAGAACCACGCTCGGGTCTTGTATGCGTGATTCGGATACATCATACGTCGATTTTAGGGGAGTACAGGGTTTCAGCAAGCATTGCCTGTTTGCCAAGTTGACATAGAGTACCGACGTTGAAAGCTCCTATGTGGAAAGGATCTCGTGGATTTAGAAAGGTGTTATTTTGTTTAGTATTTGTGGGCAGCGGGGAGCCTAAGGCCCTTCGGTCAGATGGCTGACAGTCAAATGGCCCAGCGACGTTTGCTTGTGCGGTGGGAAGGGGTTGGGAAGGGACATCGGTGGACGCTGAACTGCGCGGGCAAATGATACTTCCCGGTTGCCCAGGCCGAGGAAGGGGGTTTGGTTGAGGTACCTCACCTTGAGCCTTCGACTCAAAAGTCTGACCCACGAGGCAGTGGGAGTGTGGGGTTTTATTCGGGGACCCTGCCCCTAGCCTCTGACTCAAAAGTCTGACCCACGAGGCAGTGGGAGTGTGGGGTTTTATTCGGGGACCCTGCCTGGAGCCGACGACTCAACAGTCTGACCTGCTCGGCTGCAGGGGGTTGGCCTAACCCGAGGGCGCAGGGAATAAGGCATTACTGTCTCAGTCCTGATGCGGCTGTGTAAAGCAGGTGCCTTTTGAGCTACTACGATTACTCGTAGTATGGGGTCTCGCTGCTCTTGGTCTGGGTGCTCCCCTTTGGCCTTCCTGGCATGGTTGCACCTTGTGGAACGAAGTTCCAGCCAGTGTAGCCCGCGGGATCGTTGCAGCACTCAAGCCCGACCACCACGTCAAGGTGGCAGCTTTAGGTCGGGACGAAGCTATTGTGAGCGAAACGTTGCCCCGCAATAAATCTACCGACGGTCACCGAACTTTTTCGAAAAAGATAAAAGACACTCGTTCAGCTGTAACACCTACCGGCGCATAGCTCCTATGCCACCAGAAGGAAGCACGAGGGCTGTCCAAGCCTATACAGGAAAAGTCGCGATGTAGAGGGTAAGTCAAAAGTGGCTACCTACAATGCGACTGACTTGTGTTCAGCACTGGTATGTAGTTGATTCTAATTTCCGCTTTGGTGTGGAAAGTCCAGAGTGGCTAGAAATAAACCACGATTAACACAAGATCAGAAACCGTTTATCGTTTTCACTCCTTTGTGGGTGGGATCACGCAGACCCTCTGAAATCAACCCCTTTTGAACCCAGCTTCCAAGGTGTACATTGAAACGCTCAGCTAGAACAAAGATACCTGAATTCTGAGGTTTTCGGATAAGTTCAATGAGTTGGACATTAAACTGTCCTTTGAAACTTCAGAATGCAATTGGTTGCTTCATAAGCTGAAACGTTAAGCGCATTGTGTTTAGTGTCTCTGACGAATCAAGCTGCATGACTGCGCTAATCTGACTGAAGTGAGTCGGAGCCTGTTGCCCGATCATTCTGGGTGCTTGTGCATTGAGGAACGTCAGTTGGAATGGAAATCTTTGGTGGCGAAAAGCTTGGTGTTCCGCTAACTGTTTGTTAGGATTCGTCACACGGACAAACAGATCTCAACCTCAATAATGTTTGAAAAAGGTTTGGGCCAAATTGTCCAAGCTACTGCGGCGTGTAGATTTCATTCGACCTCTTGTAGGTTTTACAGTCATATCTGGTTAGTGAGGAAGATACTTTCAAACCGAAGTAGAGATTTTTCTTGGCAATGCCATAGGGAATGACTTGCTGAGGAACCTAGCCAGGAGCGGAGCTCCTTCGTCGGGATGAGCCTCTAGCTCTGTAAAATAGTGTGACCTGTGAGCGAGCATGATGGAGTCCCTAACCGGCCAAACACCAATTAGTGATGTGACGGAGCATACCAGCAACGGTCTTCATGGAAGAGCTAGCTATCCAACTAAACGTGATTGAACAAGAAGGGCTGTTCAAGGTCAACGGACCACCTATAACCAGATCTGTCTACCGTTTTTAGGTAGCACAGTACTCAGATTTCCGAAAAATTTGAAAGCAAGCGACTGATAAGTGCGCACAGGTTTACGGTGTTTTCAAACACTTGTTGAATTGATCGTCCAAGTTCCCAGTGCACGCAAGAAAGAATTCGCAGGGTGCGAAATGCGTATGCGGTCATATACCTAGTTATATTACTATTTTCCGACGGAATGCATAAAACCATGAATTCGTTGACCCAGTACGTGGTTTTTAGAGTGGACGTCCGGAAAGAGGGCAATTCAATAAAATTGAGGGATGAGATGAAGNATGAAGACACTTCCACAATCTCACCTTACAGGACCAAGGCGTATTTTGGGTATACTACGGTATACTAGCCCCGATGCGCTTCAACTGTAAATAGCATCTTCGGGGCTTTTTTCCTGACTGTGATATTTAGTTCATACTTTCCTACGTCCAACAGTGACACTTGGTGGCCATGGTCACCAAACGATGTTCCACGAGGCCTTCAATAGTATTCAAGATCAAAATTCGTGTTGATTATGGCCAAAAAGAGAAAAACGTATTGTGTGAAGTGGAGGGTACATACCAAAAGTCGAAATGCCAATTGATGAGCACATTAGTGGAATTCCCACCCAGCAGCAAATCCCAAAATCCATGGCCGACAGTGCATCGCTACAAACAAGCACACGAGAATTTTATCCCTATTTTCACTGACAGAACGCCGTGCAGATCGCTGATGATGAGTAAAGAGTATACTTGGAACTGCGCCTGCACGAAATTCAGCCATGATCATGTTGAAAATATTGACTTTAATTGGCCGCGTAACTACCTCGCGATTCTATTGAAGTACTTCATTTGTACCGGGTGGTGGAAGTAAACAATAATAGGTAATAATAATTCAGCTTTCGGTGTCCAAATGCCATGCCACCCTATGGAAGCACGGAGGCTGAGTAAGTGCCAAGTTATCCAAGCCTAGGCAGCAGCAGTCGAGATGCAGAGGTTGGGACCCTCCGGTCAAGGAAATATAAGATAGGATCTAAGACAGCCAGCACATATCCTAGAATTATTGGCATAGTCGCGATTGTAGAGAGTCTACAGGCGGAAAACGGGTAGTCTAATAGTTATTTCGCAAACTAAAGCACACCGAGTGTGTGGGCGAGATGGCTCAGTGATTAGAGCGCGAATTTACTGACCGGAAAGTTCGTGGTTCGAACCCGACCTCTGTCTCTCGACTTTCCTGTCTAGGTTTGGGCAACCTGGCAGTATTCCAGCCCTCGCGCTTCCCTCGGGTTGCATGGGAGTTAGGCACCGAAAGGGTGCTACAGCTTACACCGGGTGTTCCGAACGACATCGACCGGCTACAAGTAGTAGTCTATTAGTTAGAACAAAGACAATGTGTACTGATGCCGAAGCGCTTCACGATCGACAAACGTTGCAGTTGTAACGCCATACAGCTTTAAGATAGATGTATGAAAAGTAATTGGTTCCAGGAGTCGTGCCAAATGACCTTTCACAAGTGGACCCTTTGAGCCGTCGGAAACGCTTCGGACGCAGCAAGCAGTGTTATGGCAGACTACAACCGCTTCTCGATCAGACAGTCCTGACAGCAGAGAACTTTCTTCCTCCTCTCAAGAAAACAACTCCTAAATGATGCTATGCATTTCACCCACGGACGCCCACATAGGAGAAGACAACGCTCAATTCACCGTTTGGGTCGGTTCAGTCGAAACCACCAATCATGTGCATTTGTCTACTATGCGTACTATGGAAATCTGACTGATTATGCTTGAATTACCCGTTCCATTACTCGGAGACATCAGATTAATACACGTCTTCGAGAGAATAGTTAGTTTTGTCTCATTATTACAAACACACTAAATGCCCTACTACGACTCCCCGACAGATCGACCCGGAATGAAGTGGTGCGACTCAAGTATAAGTGACGAGAAGTAAACAAGCATAGTCAGGCTAGCGAAATACACTCATTTGCACACCTATTTGTTTTTGACGGGGGGCTCAGCCGGAACCCAGCTGATTCGCTCGTTTATGATGTCGAAGAGTTTTTAGAAGAGTTTTTAGTGTTTTCAGAAGTACAGAACATCCTATTGCTTAAATGGGCTATCGAGGAGTTTTCAGCCACCCTACTTCCATAGTCAGGCTAGTTTAGCGTGCAGGCCGATTTGCGATCAGAGGTATGCAACAGGAATTACAGATGTGGGTTTGTACGCTGAGGGGCGAAATATTGAAATGCATTACGAAAAATGAGGATATTACAGCTATTGTGATAAGAGCGTGGAAAAAACTCTACGCCCATTCAGGGTACCGTAACGGAAACTGTCAGTGGTATTGGAGAGCAGTGAACTTCCCTATTACCACAAGAACACGTCACCGACTGGGTGTGAGTCAAACGTCAGCTCCAGCACATAACAAGAGCAATACTGAAGACATAACCTTCATACTGGACGTATGACTCACTGTAAAGTACAACCACACAATCAGCACATAAAATTGGCATAAAGTGATTAAACGCACGTCAGCATGCGTCAAAATGGCATTTGAGCATTTGAAGATTTCTGTGCTGGTAGCACGCGTGCTGTGAGATACGCGCTAGTCAACTTGGCCAGGAAACATACGCGCGTGAGGCGGTCGATTTCTATAAGCTACGACAGCGCAACAGCCCTCCGCAGAACGGACTGATTATGGAGTATTATGTAATAGTTTCGCGTCCTAGAATAGCTTGACGAGGATCGGTCTAAGTTACGTCCCTGAGTATATGACAGAGCCAGTAATGTCTCGGGTCGTCTTCGATTAAATGGGGTCAATGTTGGTGAAGCGGTCAAGCAACTAGGACCAATGAGTGCGTCATAACATTGTGATGGAAATTTCTAAGGGATTTTCGTCTTCTGGGTGAATTAGAATGACAGTAACAGCATAGGTCCTGAAAACCGCAAAAAGGTCGGATAGTTACTTACTTTCTCTCCAAAGCCTCCACGTATTCCTTCTTTTTTCGGCGGCTTTCTTGAGCACTAATTTTGTTCTTAATCTTTCGGCGTACCCTTTTCAAATTACGTTCCTCTTGTTTCGAAAGAGGCAAACGTGTTGGGATGGAATAACCTTCAGCCAGAAGAGTACGCTTCTCCTCGTCTGTTAGTACCAGGATACCCGGTTGGGATACCTGCAGGAAGAGACAAAACGCAAAGATGGTCGCGTTCAGTGAGCGAAAAAAAAACCCAATAACACCAAATCTGCTGGACGGATGTTACGTGCTCAAATAACAAAGCTAGTTTGGTCGTTTACACCGTAATCGACATGAGCGTAGATGATGTTTGCATCGGCCAAGTTTGCAGCCCAAGTTGAGACATTGGGTGAACTACGAGGAAACTGTGCGCGGGTTGTTGTTTCGCGATTTCGGATGTATAGACTTAACTGTGACACCTATGTGAGCCCAAGTCACCAGTACCGAAGGCTAAAATCCAATGTACCCAGTTTACCTTGAATCGGTTGCGCTACCCGCCATTAGTAACATAGGTATCTAGTACAAATAACCCCATGGAATAGGAATGATATCTATCCATCTACCATCACAGACGGATGTCCTTCAATGTGGAAAACTAAAACACCTTAGATCAGTAGTTAAGGCACGAACGCACAAACCTGACGGTCTGCGACTAGAACCCAAACCCAGCATCCTGACTGTCCCTAAGCTTGGGCAACTTGACGACATCTCAGCCCTTGTTGTCTCGTCTTCGGATATCGTGGCAGCTAGGCACCGAAAAGGTGTCGATCGGATAAGGCCATTGCATAGCACTGGTGTTCTTGCTTTCGCTCACCTTCAGAGTCGAACTTTCGAAACTATTACTTGCATGATTGAGAAGCACTTTCACCGCGCTAAGTTACTTCCCCTCAGGTCCCATTTTCGTCTTTCGTTGTTTGATTGCACACCCGTTTCATTATCCGGGATAAGGTGCGTCCGAAAAATCGCCAAGAATGAAGAATAAAGAAAATTCTTCGTGTTGTTTTGTGCATTCCAAGTTTGCAGGGATTTCAGTCACTGCGATACAATTATCCAGACTGCATGTTACGTGAAGTGTCGTGTGCTTTGAGCATAACCAAACGAGCATGGCTTCAGACTGTCACAATGGGAAGGGACAACGAGTTGGCATTTCACAACTTGATTTCTAGGAGTGAATTACTCAATTCAACATCGACGATTGGTGAGAATATACCGGATTATTATGGTGTGCTCTGATTCAGCTATAGCAATCTAACCACTTATCGATGATTCGAACCCTCTGTGGACAGGTGATATGAATAAGCCAATACACTCAGCGACACCTAACTGAGATCTTTACCAACGATTCCGAAACATGGTAAGAGTAAACTGCGCAGCCAAGGACAAAACAATCAGTTCGGCTATGAAAAGTTAAACGAGGACAAATTCTGAGCATATACATCCGACACAGGCATGACCATATGATTTGAAGGTTAGTTGTTATTCGGAAGGCGGCGTGTTGCTGACATGTGGTCCATCACTGAATTGTATTTCCGTTTGTGGACTCTGTGCAAGGTATAACCAAAAGCGAGATGGCCCAATGGTTAGACCGCGAATTTGCTGACCCGACGGTCCGTGGTTCGAACCCGACCTTTGCATCTCAACTTCCCTGTCTAGTCTTGGGCGACCTGTCAGTACCTCAGCCCTCATGCTTCCTTCTGGTGGTATGGAAGTTAGGCACCGAAACGTTGCCACAGCTGAACGATTTTTTATTTATTTTAATAACCAAAAGCAGTAGCTAAACTTTAATTACTTAAAACCGTGACAAACAGAGCTTAGTCTTCGGTGAGTCATACTTCCGGCAGCTTCCCAATACCAACTAAGGTCAGTTCAGGTAGATGTTCTAATCCCCGAGCCCAACCAGACGCAATTTGTTACCCAGTCAATCATGCCACTCCTAAGAGTAAAACAGGCTGATATTACTAAGGTAATTAGACTCAGGATGATCTGAGAAAAGACTGATACCGGAACTAACGACCAAAACCTACGCCGTTTCGGACACATCAATACACAAATTTCACATTGCGGAAGCACTATAGAGATGCACGAGTTTGAAGAGATCGCGAATTCAAGAATCAATCTGCACGTCTTCGATTGGGTATCTGTGTGAATTGTACGGATGCAGTCTACAAGAAACCCTTTACTGGCCAATGGTCATATTTAGACAGTTGTTGATTCTGCTCGTAACCACCTAGTGCACTGAAATTTGGTATGTGTGAAAGAGACATTTATAGCCTGCTAACCAGCGACGGTCAAAGGCTTTCAAAAAACAGGTGTACAACTGACAGTGTTGTGTTTCGCCGGATCAACTGCTCTTAAGCAGGTCAGCCAAGGCGCAGAGGTAACAGTCCTGTAAAACGTTACCAGACTTTTGGAATTCTACACCAATGGACGGAAGACCAATAAGCAGCTACCATACTTTTTCATCGTTTGTGTACCTAAGCACGCGGAGTAGGTCCGAGATAAAGGAACAGAAAAAAGACGTACTTTGTCGTGATATGTTGTTGCACTTTTTTTCACGCCTCAGAAGTGAACTGTGGCGACGATTCAGCAGATTTTAACTTTTTAGGACAAACATGTTAAGGTTAGGATACGCTCTCCAATCATTCACACAAAAAATCGGTCACAGCCTCTTCAATAGCAAGTTAAACTGCCACTAGCAGTGTCCATCTCTACCCGAAAGGTCGCGCTTTAGAATCTCAACAAAGGCTTCAACAAGAATGGAACAGCTAGACAGTGTGTCCAACTTTACGGTCAGGCTGATTTCATCGGCTGGAGGAAAATTAGATTGGAATAATAAACAAAGGGAATGAAAAAAATCGCTCACACATGTTGAGTGATATACACACAATGTTCATGTACATACAGTATAGTGTGCTCATTATCGGCTCTGCGACCGTCAACGAGCGTAGCCGAGAGCCTTAGAATAATATTACAGCGGTTTATGCAAAACACTGCAGTGATCAAGTCTGATATGTTTGATGACCCATGCAAACTAAGTGAGCAACTAACATGCTCCAACTGTCACCTGGTCGGCCCTGCGAAAGGTGGTCTCTAATCACTAGAGACAGTAAACCACCGCTTTAACGAGTACACATGAGCTCAGGTCAAAGTCATTCGTACTGTATATATATAGAGAGAGTCAAGCTACCAGAGGCGTCGAGATGTGTTGCCTGCCATAGAAATATGCCTGATGTTATAGCACGCAACGCGAGAACAAACACAGGTTAAAAAGGGATGCCGCACCAGAAATGACATATCATCCAGATGCATGTCGGTTTTAACGCCGATTATGATGCCGGGAAGTTGGAAAAGTAGTTTCTGAGGCAGTTGTCACCTCCATCGATAGGAGGAAAGATCGGTCACATATCAGCGTAACGAAAATCGGACATACGGAAATTAATGGTCCTTTTGTGAAAGGTTATGGAAGATAAAACTTTTAGCCTACTGGATTTTGATGGAAGTAAATAGAGGGTGGCATAAAGTTGAATCAGCTGGTTATTACGAACGAAAATGTCACGAAAAAAGTAACAGACGCGAAAATAATAGGAATCTCTCAACGGGCCCCACAAGGCGGTGACAATAGATCCTACAGTAGAGAAATTGAACCACCTTCAAGCATACGAGCCACGAGTTGGTGTACAGTAGCATTTGAATGACACTGAACACTTCATCACTGATCGCTGCAAAAAGTAACGACGCGAAAATAATAGGAATCTCTCAACGGGCCCCACAAGGCGGTGACAATAGATCCTACAGTAGAGAAATTGAACCACCTTCAAGCATACGAGCCACGAGTTGGTGTACAGTAGCATTTGAATGACACTGAACACTTCATCACTGATCGCTGCATACGCAATATGACACGAACGATAATCATACGGTTTTCTTGATGAAACAAACTTTTCACAAATTTGCTGAAATCTGTCAAAATATACCACTAACGGGAGATGCTGATTAGAGTCATTTGAGCCTACCGGTAACACCATTATCAAGTGTCTTTCGACAGGCGTGCGGTGTTTTTGCACTTGTCCCCACTTGATTGCCAATGTTCTACCGTGACTTTCTCAGGTGGTGATTTTCCATAATGTTCCAATGGGATTCTCTGTTTTAGAGTCAAGGTAGATTACTCTGATGTTTTGGGTGAGCCTGTCGGAAGCTAGTCGACTAAAAGTTAAGAAAAGAGTAACACCAGTGTAACTATGAGTCAATTTGCGTTGATGGATGGCTTCGTAACAAACAAGACGTTTCCGACAAGAGCTACTCAAAATGACGGAGCCTTCGTTCCTGCACTCAGCGCTCGACAATTGGATGCAAACAGTCACATTCGGATTGCAGCAAAATGCAGTTTTGGTTTTTTTTTATCAATCTCCCTTACACGGCGTGCAAACTGCCCGACCTCGTTGCACTTATTAACTGGTGCTTGAGACAAAGTGCACGCGCTTGTCCCTCGCAGGGCAGTGTACATGCGCGACTTTATATGAATCGATACAACGAGTAGCGCGGCTTGGTAGTGTTCAACAGAATTTACTACCATTTGTGGACGACAAACGTACATACACAGTCACATACAACCGTTTTGCACTGTACTGAAAGTGTATTCACCCAGCACTTGTTTACCACGGGAATACTGGGTGAGCGCAACAAGGGTAATTAGAATACGTATCAGAACGTTTGATGACATGATTACGAAGACAAATCGATAGGAGCAAATTGGAAACGCTTGTAACATGAGCATTTGATGACATGATTACGAAAACAAATCGATAGGAAGAGCAAATTGGAAACGCTTGTAACATGAGCGAATAGAGATCGTGGTTCATTTGTGTATGCGCGTGACTTGAGAACACTTTAGCCAGAAAAAGGAACACAAACAAGAGAGAGGGACAAGCCCACGTCTACCTGCGTGGGCGGTCTCGACATTGATTATGGCTTAAAATAAAATCCTCACACAATGTATATCGAGCAGGCTAAAAATAAATGGAGTTACACGCTTGTCTAGACGGTACATGCCACCCATAAGGTTGATGAAAGCTGTTCGAAAGCTGACGATTAGTTTTACCCTTCGTGAGGCCGATCAGAGTTTCCGTCACTCTGTTGTTCTACTTGAACAAAATCATTTGTGCACTAAATTGGTGTCATCTAGAGAACCCAATGATTCGTGGCCGAATCGATCGTTCATAATAAATAATCTTTAACTAAATGCGTAGCAAAAAGGCCACCTCATATTTCGAATGGAATGACATTGAAAAAATCGAAGTAGTTTTTCTCACCAAACAATGCTTCTGAGGGCTGTCGATGAATCTTCATAAACTCTACAAGTAGCGGTGGGTCGAGAATGAAAATGACCTAAGTCAGGGAAATACTGAGAAGAGCGAATGGGGTCAAAAGTAAATGGCGAAAATAAACTATAGAGGATGTGGCATCGTGCGGGCGTAAGAGGTACGAAGTGTTCAAACAGCAAACAGTAGGAAGTAGTGAAAAGAGGGAGAAATACTGAGGCATTCTCCATTCAGATGGTTAGAAATCTGCATAATCGGACGATATTCTGAAACCGCCGTCTCATTCAAAACCTGCAAGAATTAGACGTCACAGAACTGCATTCAAACATACTAAATAGGTCAAAGTGTTCTATAAAATGAGGTTCATCTAGTGCAACAAAAACTGCGCGGGCGAGTGCTGACTCGGTAATTTGGTAATCTGCAGCCGCCATTGAAGGGAGCTGTGGCCTTGCCAAACATACTACCGCCGGTTTCAACAACCATGTACTTTCATTTCGGCCACGGTTTATGCGTCGAAAAGTATGTTACAATACTGCCAGTTCAGGTGGAGTTCCTTGGAGAAAGGCTGTTCCTTTTTATTCTTTTTCCGGTGGGGTGGGAAGTGGAGGCACAGAACTTTGCTACTCAGACTGCTTGTTAAAGAGCCAACTTCCAGATTCATGCGTGATCATGGCATGGCTAACTGATAGGTATCCACGCCTTCAAAAATTTTCTCATACGTGAGCATAAATTACTGAGGGATGGGAGACCCATTATGCGAAACCCCTCATCCAAAGTGATAATAAAGGTACGACGGAAATCAGAGATGATTTCTGGGGTAGCCGGAGTGTTGAAGATGAGTATGTACATTTGCTAGCCGTGAGGTCCCTGGTTCCAACCCCACCCCCCAGCAACTTGACTACTCTTGTCTAGGCTTGGGTAGCCTGGTAGTATTTCAACCGTCGAGCTTCCTTCGGATGGCATGACACCTAGGCACAGAAGGGGTGTTACAGTGGAAATACCGTTGTTTATTAGTATTACTTTGGGATAAGAACTGAGGTCAAGTGGATAAAGTGAAGAGCAACTTTATAAGGATACCATAGGCTCTATGATCAAAAGCCTGAGAGGATGAAGTTAACTCGGAAGAGAATCTGTCGTGATTGTTTTCAATGGTAGAGAACTGAACAGAGCAACCAAGCAATCAGTCAAATGGATGTGTCAGGGTTGAACTTTGGGAATGCAGTCAAGGTCGTCTGCCAACACAGTTGTAATTATGAATATAGAAACCAACTTCGGATGTCCAAACACTAGAGCCAGCTTGTTTCGTAGATTAACGGTGATCACAACAGGTGTCGTAGCTGGTAGAAAGGGTTCTGAGTAGGTTACACATCTGTTCAAACGGAATGCTCAGCGATGTGGCGACTCAATGTTGGGACAGCAAGCAATCGACAGGTGAGAGGGGAGGGGAAACTGAACACAGGCTGCTTCTACGCTCCGACGTCAGTATGATTTTGAGGATACATACGATGGGAAGTCTCCCCTTCGGTCATAAAAAGGGTAGATTAGTACGCCCAAGTCACTTCCAAGTAGTTTTGGAATTGGTGGCAAGAAGCCGAGCGCATGCAGCAGGCAACTATTGGGAAATAATACATGCTGAACGTTCGGACGAGAAACTCACATCACTCCGTTCGATCCGTGTGGGGCTTTTTCCCTTTGTGGAAGGCTAAAACGGCGAAACATAGCGACTAAGTAAAGGACCTGTGCATTTGCACACGGCGGATGAGACATGCTTCTTGATGAGAATATTAGACAAAGACGGACTGGATCTTGGATGTACATGAGCTAACTGTAGAACAGAGGAGACACACAACAACCGACCTTCCAATATACGTGTTTGAAGCGCAGTCTGCGTACCCTACTTGCCGTTTGGGGTGGTGACTGGTAACTCAACAGGTGTTCTTATACATAAAGGTTACAAGGCGATGGCGGAATAGATTCCAAATAGATGTGAGTAGGTTAGAAAAGTGTCAAGTGAATCTCGGAATATTACTTCAAGTGATCACTTAGACAGAGCCAGTAAACACCTAAACTACCGAATCATTGGTGAACCCGAAACACACTACCAGTTGAATGCTCTATAAATTTTGTGTACGGGAAATAGCCCGTTTATGTAATGACAGTACGCGGAAATGGATTTTCACGAGGGTCTAAAAGTGAAACTTGGTGACACAAGTTGAACAAAGTCTTGTAACAGAGTTTAAACATCGAAGCGAGTACTGCACCACAAAAAGTCGATCGCGCTACCATACGCCACTGTGAAATGGCCGCAATGAAGGGCGCATTGTAAGGTGACCAAAGGAAGCTTCGAAACACTCGATGATTCAAAGATATTTGACTGATGGACAAGTTCAACTATGATATGGTGAGGTGATGGGTCCGTTCGCTCCTATCTATTCAAGTGGACAGCTAGTGCTGGCCTTGTTTCCATCCACGCATTCACGTAGTCTTCTTCAATGTTTCAACTAATAAACCAAGTGCACACCTACCTCAATGCTGAATAGAAGGACGTGCACTTGTGGGAATGGCTGGGACGATAAAGTAGGAAAAATCTCGCAAAGTTTTAACAATATGAAAACAGACATTGTGTCGAACGAACGATTTTGGTTTGCAGAAGTCTAACCCGAAATGGGATGTTGAGCTACAGTAAACGACGGAAGCTGTACAGAGGGGAAATTCACACGTGCAGAGCGAAAGCAACCTCCTCCTCAGATCACACAGAGTGAAACAAATGACAGATTATTAATCGAAAAGGGTCATAGCTGCAGTGCTGACCTGATTAAAAATGATTCGGAAGATAAGTGAGTTGAGAAAATCCAAGACACAGAACCCTAGTGCAGCTTGAACATCCCGCATAAAAATTAACACCCAAGACGATGATATCTCGCCGAAAACCGGTTTTTGATGGACTGGTTTCTGCTACTGACATGATAATATCATCCACAAAATAATGGTGCATCAATGAATTCCTGACAAATCCTACGTATGAACGCATGCCAAATTTCCACAGGTGAGGTCGACGACTGCATGGTGTTTGGGGATATATATGTGAATTTCGAATAGGGACATCAGGTGAGAAAGAAAGAAAGCGTTCAGCTGTAGCACCCTTCCGGTTCCTAGCTGCCATGCCACCCTAAGGAAACACGAGGGCTGGGATACTGCCAGGTTGCCCAAGCCTAGACAGGAGAAGTCGAGAGGCAGAGGTCGGGTTCGAACCACAGACCTTTTGGTCAGTAAATTCGCACTCTAACCACTTGGGATATCTCGTCCCCGTATGTAAACCGAAATCATACCAACCGTCAAGAGGAACCACGAGCATATTCGGCTGTCACCGATTACAAAAAGGAAAGGAACAAGAATATGCAACATCCACGACGCAGAAAACGAACGTCCAATTCGCGGAGGTGAAAACACATATGACCATTAGACTAGGCAGGTAGCTTAAGTTGACGCTGTTGGACATTTTGTCTCTTCCCGCAGTCAAACTACTGACAAAGTTTCCTGTTAGCAAGTATTTAAGGTTCATGAGAGTTGTATGTCAAAGAAACTAAGTGAAGCATTACAAGTCCAGAAACGAGATAGTGACTCTCGTCCCTCAAATTAATAGTCTCGTTTCCGAGGAAAACTCATGTTCAGCATTCCAACAACCGACTGTGATCATCATCATCATCATCATCATCATCATCATCATCATCATCATCATCATCATCATCATCATCATCATCAA